ATCAATTTTGTGTCCCAGGAAGGTAGCTTCGCTGACTGCAAACTTGCATTTTTCTTTTTTTAGTCTCAGACCGGTGCTGTCTAATCTGGACAGTACTTGTTCCAAACGCTCAGCATGTTCTTTCTTGCTCGCTCCACTGATGATGATGTCATCTAAATAGACACTTATTCCGTCTATGCCGGCGAGTGTTGTTTCCATCATTCGCTGGAAGATCGCTGGTGCTGCTGAAATTCCGAACGGAAGTCGTGTCACTCGGTACAATCCTTTCATCGTATTGATTGTAAGTACAGCTGCCGTCTCTTCAGTTACCTTTAGTTGCTGGTATGCTTGGCACAAGTCTAGCGTGGAGAAAGTAGTTCCGCCTCTGAGGTTCGAGAGCACTTCTCCTGTTGTTGGTAGCGGATAACTGGCCTTTTTCGATGCGGCGTTTACCGTACTCCTGTAGTCGCCACAGAGTCGGATAGCTCCGCTCTTCTTGCGAACGAGTACAAGCGGCGTAGCCCACTCAGAGTGTTGAACTGGCTCAATTATCCCTTGGTTCTGCAGCTGTTGAAGCTCGTCTGTCACCGCTGATCGTAGCGCGAGAGGAACAGGGCGAGCCTTGCAAAACTTTGGCGGGGCTCCTTCCTCCAGCTCCAAGTGCACTGGAGGTCCCGTGTATCCAGAGATGTCGTCTTGGAATACCTTGGAATGTCGTTGTAGCACTGCCTCCACCTCCGGTGGCGTGGTCTGCTGCTGCATCTGATTGATTCCTTGAACTCGGATGTTGAGCGCGTCGAACCAATCTCTACCCAAAAGGCTGCAGCCGGCCCCTTTCATTACCAGAAGCGGCAGTATAGGTAATCCTTGGACTTGAAGCGTACTCGAACTTGAAGCGATCCCAGAAGTTTCAGGCCTTCGCCACTCCAAGTGTAGAGCTCCAAGTCGTCCTTCGTGAGCTTTGGTGGGTTCTTGGGCCAGGTTGAGCGAAATGTGTCTTCGCTTATCAACGAACAAGCGGCTCCAGAATCGACCTCGAACTGAAGTGGTTTACCTTCAATCCGAAGGGAAACATAAAATTTCGGGAAGCACCTTCGCGTGGTCAGCTGGTTCAGCTCATGACATGTACATCTAGAAGAACACGCTGGCTGGCTCACCACTTCAGTCGCTGCTTCAACGTTGTAGTTAGCTTTCTTGTAGCCTGTTTTACCTTGTTGTTTTTTCTTTGCAATGCATGCCTTTTCAATGTGTCCTTCCTTTTTGCAGTAGTGACACTCGGTAGTCTTGAATCGGCAGGCCTGTGGGTCGTGTTGACCTGTGCAACGATAACACGGACGTCCCTTGTATGAAGCGGACTTGTTGCATGCATCCGTTGTCTTGTTGACCTGGAGATCCTCCTTGTTTTTTATACTCTGTTGTTGTTTCGAGGCACTCTCAGCACGGACGGCGATGTCTAAGGCGCTTGCGAACGTTAAGTTCTTTTCTGCGAACAGACGTTGTTGCAGAAGTTCGTCACGGATGCCGCAGACAAACCTGTCGCGCAGCATCACGTCCAGTGGCAGTTTAGTGTCCCATTGTGGAGTTGCCGGTTGTGCAGCCGTAGCCACTGCATCGGGTGCTGCTTGTGACGCCGGTTGCTGCGACGCCGGTTGCCGTGCCGTTGTCGATGCCACAAGCGTAGTTGCGGAAGCTAAGATGCTGAAATTGCAGTCTCCAGCCAGCATTTTGAGTGCCGCAACGTAGCTGTTTATGGACTCGTCCGGTAGTTGGTCTCGCCTCTGGAAGTTGTACCGGCTATAGAGCTCCGAAGGTTTTGGATCGAAGTGCGCGCCGAGGATCGTCACGAGTTCTTCGAACTCGACATCCCCGGGTCCTCTGGGTGCTACCAACGCTCGTACGATGTCATATGTTTCTGGACCGCACAGCGTAAGTAGGACAGCTCGCTTCCTGTCCACGGCGCTGATGTTATTCGCCACGAAGTAGAATCCGAGGCGCTCAATCCAGGATGCCCATGACTTGCCTGAGAAGGCTTCCATTTTGCCTGACTTAGACATGGCTCGAGGTCTGAGGTTCCAGGCGTCGTAGGTCCTTGATTCCTCGTCGCCAGTGTCGTGTCCGAGTGGTGATGACAACTACAGCCCGAATACTTATGAGTTTAATATGACCCAGAAGAGCCTCAGTGCCTAGCTTGCGCCATCGGTAGCTCGCAGTTCCAGAGTGCGCGCTCAGGGATCGCGCGCACAGGGCAATGCCGATCTTCGTCCTTTATGCGCGAGTGGCGCCGCGCTGGACATCACAGGCTCCAATCGGAAGGATAGTGGGTAGACCTCGAGCCAGCTAGCATCGAGGTCTACCCACTTCCCTTCCACCCAGAGCCAATCAGAACCCGACGTTCTTACGTCACCGCAACTACTGCTGAAGAAGCAGACGAACTTGCGCTCAGCCTAGTTCCCATCTATCGTTTGCCATGAACAACGATGAGGATTGGCTGGAACGCACGTTGGACGAGCAGAAACGTGCAATCCTCCCGACAAAGGTACTGGTTCTTGGCGGACGATAGGGAAATGGAAGCTAGTTCTAAGCGTGAGCTGCTCCGGGCAACGGCCTCAGATATACCGTCCGGCGAATATCCCCCTTGCACACCTCCGTTCCTCCTTGCTCTCGCTTTCAATCAGTAAATTGTCTCTGAAGCCTCACTGCGTTGACTGCTGTCCATAACAAATGAGCTGCTCTTACCCCCTCCTATAAAGTACACAAAGCTCATAAGGAACGAAGACATTCTCACTTAATTTCATAGGGCATGCATAACGCCCCACAGGGGCTTAGTTTGCCTGAACCGTTGCCTAATTTTGAGACGTAAACGTTATCTGACCATTGTCAACCAAAGCGAGCAACCAAGTTGCTTGCGTTTATAATTCCTTTATTTCCGTTGCCAGTACAAAGATAAGGCTGTGTCGTCTTCGTCTTACATGTTTACTCTTTCTTCAATCTGTATTAGAACCAACAGTTTCTTCGTTTATTAATGTCTAATGTTATTAGTACCTTCGGGCTGTTCGGCTCTCTTTTAAGTTCTATAATAATAATAATACTTTTATTTATTGTGTCCAGTAATAGCCGCAGCCTAAGCACTGGTGCACTCGTTTGTAGCAAAAAGCAACACAAGAATACAAACACACAAAGAATAAGAAAGGTAAGAAATTCAAACAACAAAATAGAACAAAATACTCAGTAGTGAGTACGTATATACATCAACCACATACATGGCGCAATCGGTTTTTTTAAATTGACACAAATCTTTATTGAAAATGTCTAAATCAGATGAGTCTAGATGGTTTAAATAGTTTTGAATGCGACCCAATGGTGACATAAAGTTTGTGGGGTCAACGTGGAACGTGCGGTGATTTCGAACATTTCTTCCATGTATATGATAGTGCACAGATGACATTAATGAGCTAATATTGAAGTAAGAGTGTATTCATTTAAACAAAAACACAAGGTCGCGCGAACACCGTCTAGTTTCAAGTTCAGATATCTGCAATGATTTCAGCACTTCAAGCTGAGTCTGAGTATGAGTCATGTGACTATCTAAAGTGATAAATTCTAGCAAACCTTTTCTATATGTGTTCTAAATTTTTTGAAGCAGTCATACTAAGACTGTTCCAGATCACTGAACAAAACTCATGTTTTGGGAGAACTATGCTCCAGTAAAGCACAAATAAAGGATATACACTCTAAAAACGTTTACTAAAACATAAGATTACACCGTGAAGTCTAAAACAAGAGCTCACAACATGCAACACATGCGAGTTGAAAATAAGTTTGAAGTCAAGCAATACTCCAAGGTATTTAATACCCGTGCCACAAGGATAACTCGAATGCCACTTACAACGAATGACATTCGTGTGATCGACGAATCGGCTCGTGATCTGTCGCGCGTGGAACGCCCCACCTCGGAGTGTCACGCGCTGATTGGCCAATCGTTCAAATGTCATTCGTTGTAAATGGCATTCGAGTTTCCCGTGTGGCACGGGTATTACACACAGTACACGGTTAATGGTCGCTCTTTCTAAACGGTACACAAAAGAAGTAGGATTAGTCTTGCGCGTAAAAGATATAACATTCTTGTTTGTTTTTTTTGTTTTTTTTTCAAAGTTGAGTGCAAGATTATTGTCTAGACATTACTGACATATGGCGTTAACATCTTCTTGAAGTAGAAAACGGTCACTTAATGTCAATATGTTTTTGTAGATTTTGAGATCGTCTGCAAATTTCAAGAGACGTGAAGGATGAACGACGTCTTGGATGTCCTTGACGAATAAATTAAAAAGAAGGAATTCAAGGTTGGAGCCTTGGGGTGCCTCAGATGGCACAGAAAAGAAACGTGACTTTGCATGAGCATAGCTGGCACTATTCGCTCTTCCAGAAAGATAACTGTCGAACCAAGAACAATAATCATCACTGAGACCGTACACAGAACGTTTATATAACAATAGTTTGATTCACATGGTCCAATGCCTTACTAGAGTCAAAATACACTGCGTCCGTTTGTCCTCAAGAAAAACAGTGGGTGCAATAGCATTTAAGAAACACGCAAGATTCGTCTCAACAGAACGACCAGTCATGAAATCGTGTTGTGTGTCAGGTATTACGCGCGTGATATAATGTGTCAAATCCTTGTGGATTATCTTTCCGAACACTTTCGAAAAAACAGAGAGCAAAGATATCGGTCTGTAGTTCTGAACATTTGTTGTGCTACCAGATTTGAAACGTGGCATTACTAAGCCGTTTTTCCAGGAAACCGGGAAAACTGATTGCTTCAGTGACTGATGAAATATGTATTGAAGTACCAGAGCTAGAATGTCGACGCACCGCTTAATCTGAAGGAATAACTTGCATGTCTTGAATGACACACCCGCTGCATCTTCTGCTTAAAGCGAACACGTTCGTCCGCTTACAGGTGTACATACTGTCAACTGAACGCCGAACATGTATTAACCTCGCTGGTTCTTTCTCTTCGGCAGTGTGCCTGGGTGCGGTGTCCACGTCGGTGGCGCTGTTCCTGTCCCCCGTGGTGGTGTCGGCGTGCCGACGCAAGAGCACCCGCATGGTGGCCGTGCTGGGAGGCCTGGTGGCCGCGCTGGGCTGCCTCTTCACTTCCTTCGCGTCCCAGTTCCACCAGCTCTTCTTCAGCTACGGCCTGGTGCTGGGCTGCGGCGTCGCCATGACCCGGGACACGTCCGTCTTCATGGTCGGCCAGTACTTCAAGAAGCGCCGGGAGATGGTCGAGGTCATCCTGGCCGCCGGCACGGGACTCGGAGTCGCCGTGGTCCCCGTCTTCGTTGTCGAGTGCATACGGTACGAGTGATTATTGACGACGGGCGCCATCAAAAGCGTGGCCGTCTGTCCATTAGTAGCCAAGCACTCATGGTGGCGTCTTAAAAGATATTCATTTTGATTTCATCTACGGAAATTATAGTAACATCAAACTGGCAACGGGAACGATGTTGGCTTTAGGGGTGACGCACAGATTTTCGTGCTTTAATAAATCACTCGGAATTATTCCTTGACATTCATTTCCTTGGAAACACTCGCTTGCTTGTTTGTTTGTTTTTTCTCTCCGCATTGACAGCGCATTGACAGTTGCAGAAAAACATTCGAGAATCCTGCTTATGGCACTGTTGACAACGCCAGCAATGCCGACCTCACAACTTCTGCATCAAGTTTAGCGAAAGCGAGACTGAAAGAAAACGTTCTCTTTTTATCCTTGAAATTAGGCGGCACCGAAGAAGCTTCTTGGTTAGTGGTGATGCCTGCGAGTATAGACCTTTTGCACAAGGACGCCGCCATCTTGAAATATCGTCACTTCCAGTATGGGCGAAAACATTGTTTTGACGTCGCCATGGCAATAGAGATAAGCGTAACCATCGCCCATTCTCATTTTGTCTCCCCTCTATTTTTTACTATTTGCAGGTTGAAACATTCTAATATTTCTTCGTCGCCCATACTGGAATGCCTACTTGGCGGTCGGGGGCGAGAGTAAGTGGAAAAGGTCTATACTTAGGTACTACTAGTGCCAGAATTCTCTAAAAAGAGAAACATTCTTAACCAATATTGTTGCACGTCTCCTTTCAAAATGTAATGGCTTCAAGCTTCCACTGCGCTTTTTCACACACACCATCGAGCTTAATTCATGAATCACAACTCATGACAGGTAGCAAGGATCACAACTTGTGACGTCACGGCAGGGCAAATCCATATAGTGTCCTCAAGTAGAGGAACCATAAAAGGACCCGACTAGAGCCACTAAATGAGCTGCGCTAAGAACATCGGCACTCTGTTCCCCGACATTGTTGTGGGCGCCGCCATTTTGGTGCTTGTGCAGAGCAGACGCAATTGCCAATCGTCATAATTCAAAAGTCTAACTTCCTCAGCATTAGATTTGGTGTTAGGAAGCTCATGTAATATTGATTTGCTCTGTCGCCAACTGTTTAAACAATTGTGGAGGACGGAAAAGCGTTTCCTGTCATTTTAGAGAAAGCTTCAAATAACTGGCAACCATGATTTTAAGCCACAATACGGCCAAGTGTCCTTACTTTGAAGCGTAGCTTAATTAGTGGCACTGGGCGCATCCAAACCATCTCGGCGCTGACAGTTGCGTTCAATTTATGCGCAAGTGAGCCCGAAGCTACAAGCACGAATATGTTACGCTGAACCCCTGAACGACGCTCTCACTGCACGAGCACACAAGCTCGGCAGGGATGCCCAAATCCTGGAGCTTGCTCTTGTTACTTCTAGGGTGACTTCATGTGCGCCTCTGCTAGGCTCGCTGTGGAACGGAGTATAATGGACGTCCCACAAAACATGGCTTCGGAAAAAAGTTGCGTCAGCCTTTGGTTTATCGTGGACCTCCGAAAGGTGACTTTAGAGGGTCTGAGGGATCAATTTTTATTGAAATTATCAGTACGACTTCGCACCTGACTGAAGCCTAAATTTAAACCGCATGCGCCTGGATCACGAAGCTGAAAAATCATATATTCTACTTGAGGGTCTCTCAAAGGCGCTTTATTTCTAGTTGTACTTCTGGCATATCAATGTTTAGGTCTTTGCATCTTTGACGCTATAGATCCCGAGGTTGCTTCGTCCGATATTAAAGGTAGTTACCGTGCAAAGGAAAACTACGGGATTTTTTTTATTGGGCGCTGTGTGTCAAATTTAAGCTATTTTCCTCTTTATTATTATATAAAAAATAATAAATAGAAATTTTGGTCACAGTAAAAGCTGTGGCCCTGTATTGCTCGGAGCACGTGGAGCGAAAGCACGCGCTGCAGAACCCAACATCCTGGGCTCAATCCCCATCCCTGCCCGTTTCGATCTGGATGAACATCTTACCTGCGTGCGGTCGTTTATCACTACTGCGTAGTGCACGTTAAAGACCCCAGGCTAGCGGTTGTATAGTGCACTGGCTAAATTCCGTATCTACAGCTGGGAGACTCGTCGCCCGTTGAGGCAAACCAAGTTCTAGGCTGTATAAACATACACACAGCCCAATGTTTTACCCTTAGATAAACTATAGCCTAGGTTAAATATGCAAGTAAAATATAACACAATCAATATGCATTCAATTCTGCAAGCTCCCGCATCGTTGCCCCCCTTCCTCCCCCCCCCCCCCTTTTTTTTTCCCCCAAAAAAATATCCTTGGAGGCGTAGTTGGTTAGTAACTTAGTTGTTTAGAAATATTTCGGAATACTTCGAATTGAATGCGACCTTGGGCAAAGTTCAGCCTAGCCGATGTAAGTCGCTCTCCAACCAAAATCATCATTCGCTGCTATCGGTCCTTCTGGCCATAGTCTGCATGCTGTTGTTCCAGTTGTGGGGTGCTTGTTGTATGTCGATTAACAAATAAAAAGTTTCAATTAGCACGTCTGTTTCAGCAGTTTTTGCCCGTCCTAAAGCAGAAATGTCAGAGAAAGGAAAGGCGCGCCTCTCCCTTCGAGCTTCCATAGATGGAATCTCTGAATTGCCTCATGCGTGTATGCGCTTGAAGGGCACTAAGTGACGAAACGTTATGATCGCGCGAGTCGTTAGACTACCCGAGCGTGGTTGCAGGTAGCTGGACTGGCTGCTCGATCAAAAGAGAGCCGAACACTCCCGAAATGCCCTGGTAAGGACAGGCTACAGACAACGCCTCTTGCCCCTTCTGGTTCTTTCTGAGGCCTTCCTTGTTAAGGGAAAAAGAATGACACAAAGAAAAGGAATACCGGCGTGAAGAGTCGGTCTATGCCCCGTTTCACTTGAGGATCGATCGCAGCGGGCGCTACCAGCCATTTCAGTCAATCCAGCGCTGTGAATGCATCACGTGACCAGGCGCACTGCGAGTCGCTGCGCTCCTCCCGAAGGTCATGTGACGCTCACACGGCATGAAATTATCTTGGATGGCTTGCAGGTTTCTGTACGGTCCATCGTAAGGTGAAACCACTCGGCCGCTAAATGCTTGCGTGACCGGAGCCATCATAAAGGCGTGTCCCCGCTACCAATCAAAGTGTGCCAGCCTCCGGTGTCGACAGGTGAACGGTCCGTGGAATGCCTCGTCAACAACTTCATTAAACCCGCTTACGACTCTATTATAAGCACGCGCAAGTTGTGCGGAGTCATTTCGACGACGGCGTTTTATGCACGTCCCCGCAGCTCGCTGGCTTCGGCGTTCGTGCGGCCTGGTTCGTGACAATACCTAATACGTCGATGTTGCAATGGCCCCCAGCGACAGGCTGTGTCGCAGCTACGTATAGTGTTGGCCATCGTTCTGAGGGGCCTAATCGATGTGGCGATGGACGCGATTGGTCCCGGATAAGATCTGCTAGGGCAAAGTGGCGGCTTCGATGCTGCAGGACGCCTTTTGTGCTACCAGCGTCGCACGCGGTCGCTTCGGAAGAGAGGAACGCGGACGATGAACCGTGCTCCAAAACTTAATCTCGAGGTTCCTGCTTAATTGGACGGGCCTGCTCACAGTCGACAATCATTTAAATGCATGCCGGGCCCGCATAAATAAACTACGAATCGAGTAATAATTGTGATGTGTGTATGTTCACACAGCCTGAAGTTAGTCAAACTCAGCGGGCGACTTGTCTCTCAGCTGTACATGAGCAATTTAGCCAGTGCAGCACCACTGCTATACTCCGTTCACCTGAGACTAGAAGCTCCGCCTTCAGCGCGAGCTCGATGGCTTCCGCAGTGCTTTGATTTCGCTTGCCTGTGCGTTCGCACTTGTGTTAGCAAGGGCAGAAAGCTCGCGCTGAAGGCGGAGCTTCTACTCTCAACTTAAGGGTGAACGGACTATAATAGCCTGGGGGTTTTCACGTGCATCATGTACTAGTGAAATAGTCGACCGCACGCCGGCACGATGCTCAGCTAGGTGGCCAGGTTGAAACGGGCAGGGGTGGGGATTGAAACAAGGATCTCCGGGTTCTGCAGCGCGAGCGTCCGCTCCACGTGCTGCAGAACCTGTGGACTAGCGCGTGGGCTAGCGCACATGTGCGCTAGCCCACGCGGTCACCGATTCCCTTTTTACCCCTTATCACACGGAAATAGATGCAAAAAAAATAAACAAAAGTAAACACCATTTGTCCACGCAGTCAAAACACTGTCTGTCAAACTCTGTTTACATATGAATGTCACACTTAACTCATATTTGGCATCTTATACATGTGGCAATTGATTAAAATACTTATATAGGCTGATATCACCACAGCGCCTAACTCGATGATTCTAATACAATTCTCACATATTCACATACACTCACACCAATATTGCACTCTTCAAAAATCTAAAAGACCTGGACATGCATCGAAGGTGGGAACCAATGGGGTTGACTGATAAGTGAAGCGCATAGACTTCTCACTTGCGCTACCAGCTCTAAAAAGAGCGCCTTCGTCGGGCGTGGTTTCTATGCGTGTCTGTCTATCATCCGGCATTTACATAAGCTATGTAATCGGCAATCATGTACAGCTTCATTTTCTAAAAATGGAGGAATCAAAGACTGTAAATCTTAAAGATTCAGTTCCTTTTGAAGAGTGCGTTGCAGCACATTCCAGAATGAAAACGCGTCATTGCAATAAATAATACAGTGCTGTGTGATGTCTGGCTTATTACAGACTAGACAGTTTAATGTCTATGGTACAAATATTCATTTTTCTTAAAGGTAAGTTCTTGCGGGTAAAATTGCAGTGTCTACAATTTAAAAAAACAAAAAAACATCTTGGTTGCGGGAGGCATGTCCATTTTATTTACTCTTTTGAAAACATCATTTATGGGTTCCTAGGTAAAACTAGATCGATAAATTGATAATAGAAACATGCTTT